GCTTCAACAGCGGTGCTCAAATGTCCGGTCAACTGTTTGACATAGGTAGGCCAGCCTTTCACTTTGATTCATATGCACATGCGATTTTTTCCCATCTAGATGCTCCACCGACTGGGTTCCATCAAGTTTTGTCCATATTGGAGCAATTTATTACCGCGCCTGATCCATTCCAACTCCCATTCTCAGCCTTGATCGAGCCAGCTTTTCGGCTACTGGTGCGTTTAATTCGCTTTGCATGAGGTCTGATTGATGTAATTTTTTAAGCAAAGGCTTGTGTCTGTGGATTGCATATACTCGCAAGCAGTACTTCGCTTTATTCGCTCTATGGATTTGATCCGACAACTGGTCAAATCGCCGTTTTTGTCCACTCCTTTGTCGCAGGTGCAGTAGGTTGCAAAGCTGCTCACACAGTTTTTTCCTTTATTCGAAACTTTGTAACGTTTTGTTGAATTTTACTAATAACAGTCCATTTTGCTCCTCCTAGTTTCGAATTTTGCAGAATCCCGCTGACAGCCCAACGCTTTTATCGGTCACTCGCATGATATCTGGTTCCATACTTCATCTAGCAGCTTTAGAAATATCTTCTCTTCTGAAGTCCGGTAAGTTTATGGTCTTGATCTCTACGAAGTGCGAGAAGTATGTTATACGCAGGTCACTTCGAGGAGCCACATGAGATCTACAGTACATTATTGGAGCCATCGGATGCGGTTATCAACCAGGAAGAGAATGATGGAGGGGTGAATAGTCTACTGTTGAGGTAGGCAGTTTTTTCGTTATCTGGTCCTTTACTGATGCAACGTAAATTTCAGCTTACTTCGTCATGGTCACGTTGAGGTTACTGAAGAGATTGAATATCCACGATTGGTACATTTCAACGCGCATAAGCTCCAAGCGGTGGGTCGCTCTCGCTATGTTCGCTATTTTTGCTCATTCCTGTCAATAACCACTTTCCAGGTTTTTGATATCTGCAAAGCAACTACCGTATTCAATATCGCACAGTATGATATAGAATACCTGCATGCCTTACTTACACGTGAGATTGTCAGTACACAAGCGGAAGACACGGGTGCTGTCACTAGGGTGAGTGGTCTTTATGTTTACCGAATTCTTTTGTTGCTTTGTTTTGATATGAGCAGTTTTGTTTGGTTCAGTGAACTCTGAGAAACCATATTTCCGAATTTTGCGTGGAAACTTTGCATGCAATGCTGCTTTAGTCTTCAAAGGCTTCCAAGTTTTGGGGTTTGAACGAATTTGTTTGTTTTTAGGAGATGGAGGCAGTTTTGACGTATGGAACAGATATTAACGCTCAGTTACTGCAACGAGGCGCATCTGAACAACTTGTTTCGGGATGCACAGCATTGCTGAATGTAATGGCTCTGTTTGCACCGGTACCATTCTTTTCAATCAGTAAGCGACGTCAGCTTCTCTATTCTTGTCATTTTGCTTTTTTTTTCAATACATCTTTTTAAGCTGTTCAACTCAATTTTCTGACTGACACCGCATTCCTGCTTGTGGAATATTTGAGTGGTTGCGGAGCGGATGAACAAGTAGCCGTTTGTGGAACCCTACTTCGGTTGTGCAAAACTATCTGCGCTTTAACGAAGCAAGAATACCCGGAGGTAGCTTTTGACGTAATTAAGTAGATTCAACCTCTGTATCCTATTGCACGTTTATTTTGACCACAAGATTTAACACTATCATCATGAGATCGATATCTATGTCTTCTTTTCGACGGCCTTTTCGACGTAGGCTGCATTGGCAGCTGCTCCAGCTCCAA